CCTGCAAGAAAGCTGCAGGTCCAGACTGAAACAAAAGGAAAATGGAAAACAAACGGGTATGGCAACATAAAACAAACATATAAATGAATCCAGGAGACTGGGAATTCCAGGGACGGAATAATGGAATGAACCCAGAAAACCCAGCATAAGGAAAGCCAGACATGGAATAGAAAACCAAAAAAACAAGAAAAACTAAATAAGAATTGTAAAAAGAGTACTGGATACCAGAAGCCATCACCAGACTGATCCGCAGAATAAGGCATGATGTGACATAACTCCCCTCTTAAGCGACCACTGGGCGCGACAAGCAGCTCTCAGGCAGAGACCAGGAAAGAAGCGAGTACCCAGTAGTGATGTCCCGAACGGTTCGCTGGCGAATAGTTCCTGGCGAACATAGTGTGTTATTGTTAATTTTAGGGCCCCCACCCACCGCTCAGGGGTGGGGGCCGGGGGGGACAATAGGTCCCCCCCTTATTGTTATTAGGGCCCCCACCCACCGCTCAGGGGTGGGGGCCGGGGGGGACAGTAGGTCCCCCCCTTATTGTTATTTTTAGGGCCCCCACCCACCGCTCAGGGGTGGGGGCGGGGGGGGACAATAGGTCCCCCCCTTATTGTTAATTTTAGGGCCCCCATCCACTGCTCAGGGGTGGGGGCCGGGGGGGACAATAGGTCCCCCCCTTATTGTTAATTTTAGGGCCCCCACCCACCGCTCAGGGGTGTGGGCCGGGGGGGACAATAGGTCCCCTCCTTATTGTTATTAGGGCCCCTACCCACCGCTCAGGGGTGGGGGCCGGGGTGGACAGTAGGTCCCCCCTTATTGTTATTTTTAGTGCCCCCACCCACCATACAGGGGTGGGGGCCGGAGAGGGGGAGGACTGTAGGTCCCCCCCTCATTATCTTTATGGCCCCCACCCGCCACCCAGGAGTGGGGGCCTGGGGGGGAGGACAGTAGGTCCCCCCCTCATTATCAGTATGGCCCCCACCCGCCGCCCAGGGGTGGGGGCCAGGGGGGGAGGACAGTAGGTCCCCCCCTCATTATCATTATGGCCCCCACCCGCTGCCCAGGGGTGGGGGCTGGAGAGGGGGAGGACAGTAGGTCCCCCCCTCATTATCTTTATCGCCCCCACCCGCCGTCCAGGGGTGGGGGCCGGGGGGGGGAGGACAGTAGGTCCCCCCCCTCATTATCATTATGGCCCCCACCCGCCGCCCAGGGGTGGGGGCCAGAGAGGGGGAGGGCAGTAGGTCCCCCCCTCATTATCTTTATCGCCCCCACCCGCCGCCCAGGGGTAGGGGCCGGGGGGGGAGGAGAGTAGGTCTCCTCCCCCTCCCCCCTTCAACCAGAAAGAGTCCCTGTGGGTTTTAAAATTCGCCTGCCTATTGAAGTCTATGGCGGTTCGCCCGGTTCGCGAACATTTGCGGAAGTTCGCGTTTGCGGTTCGTGAACCGAAAATTTTATGTTCGCGACATCACTAGTACCCAGCAACTAAGTCCTCAAGACTTACCGGAGGCAAGGATACCCCTACACAGCAGGAAAGTAGTTTGCGGCTCATAATGCCATTCCGAACTACTTTACTTCCTTTGGAAAGGTCTCCTGCAAAGGAACCACCAGCCAGGACCGAGATCCACTCCAGAATAGGAGCACTGCCACGAAACAGGAACCAAGCATCACAAGAGAACACCTGAAGCGACCACCGTACAGCTTGGCAGATCGACCTCCTCCACAACAAAAATAAGGAAGCCATCTCCAGCAGACTGGTCCAGATACAGGAACTCTTGCATGCTGAATAACCAACAGGAACTAGAACAAGGAACCAGGAACCAAGCATCACAAGAGAACACCTGAAGCGACCACCGTACCGCTTACCAGATCGACCTCCTCCATGACAAAAAATAAGGAAGCCATCTCCAGCAGACTGGTCCAGATACAGGATCTCTTGCATGCCTACCATACAGGAACAAAAGCAGGACAGGAAAGCTGCAAGGTCCACTCCACGAACTCCAAGTGCCTACGGCCATCTGTCAGGGTGGCGGTTCCGGTGCCCGGGACTGAGACACTGTCTGGGTGGCGGTGCGAGGACCGGGACCCAGTATGTCTGATGTTCAAAGTAGGAGTCACAGTGTGAAGGTGGATTAGCAGGGCCTGATGCAGGGTAACCACACGCCCTCTGGTGTTGAGCACCAGCGTTTGTGCGGCCACATACCAGGTCCCTGATGCAGCTACAGCGGATCCCAGGAACTTGAAGCTTGGAATTAAGCAGAACTCCCAGGTGCTGAATAGCGAGGCTCTGCAGCAAGAATGTATCCAGTACAGAAACAAGTCAAGGCTAGGAGAGGCACCAAACATGAAAATAAGACAAAACTATGAGAACCCAGAACTCCCAGGTGCTGAATAGCGAGGCTCTGCAGCAAGAATGTATCCAGTACAGAAACAAGTCAAGGCTAGGAGAGGCACCAAACATGAAAATAAGACAAAACTATGAGAACCCAGAACCGGAGAAGGATAGGAAGCAGAACCCAGAACATGTACACAAAACATGAGGAAAACAAGAACAGGGCAGGACAGGACTGGGATTACAAAATAAAACAAGACAAGATACAGTTGCAGTAAGCCTGCCACAACGCCAATGTACCCCATATTCGGCAGGTCCTACACTGCCTAATGTTCGCTAAAAGAACCATACTAAACCACAATAGCACTTACCTGCAAGAAAGGGCATAGACTTGAAACACTATGCGGAATAATGGAATGAACCCAGAAAACCCAGCATAAGGAAAACCAGACATGGAATAGAAAACCAAAAAAACAAGAAAAAATAAACAAGAATTGTAAAAAGAGTACTGGATACCAGAAGCCATCACCAGACTGATCCGCAGAACAAGGCATGATGTGACAAAAGGTTTGTCAGTAAGGGAGGTAAGGAACAGAAGTTTTGAGATTAAAGCTGCTCTGTCGCTTTAAGGTTTTGTTTTTAAATTGATCTTTTTTCCCCCCATTATTTCCCCTTATTTTTGTTTTATTTTTAATTCACCATAGTTTTTATTTATACATAAAAATAAAAAAAAGTGGGAAGTGGAGAGTGTGATTGTTGCCAGTTTCTGGCGATGGGTGCAGTTTAAGTAAAGTATCATATAAATTGCTAACTTATTTTACCCACAATCCATCAGTCAAAATAATCCCATATAAAGGCAAACGACAGACATTATGGACAGAGGAGAATAAAATGGCTGCACCAGGATTTTGAGATCAGGTGCAAGGAAGAAAGGATAACAAATATAAACTAACCGCAATAGGCAATGGTAAGAGTGCAATAATAAAAGACATGGAGCATAATGACTGTAAAACCGAAAAAAACAAAAAAACAAAACAGGACCCTTTAACCAATTGCTTGCTTGTAATCTGAATAAAACTGACAATTTTCAAAGAATTTCAAAGAAAGAAATATACTTTGTTTTAAAACATAGTATTCTTTGATAAATCCATTGCGTGTTTTAAATCAAAATAATTGAATCAAATATATTTGAATAAAAACATAATAACTCAAAGATCCTCTGTTTGGGAGACCTGATTTAAAGTTTAGAAAACACAGCTTTTGTAAGCAAGCCATTATAGTCTGGCATTGTGCTTTGCAAATTGAACTATCCCATAATACCACAATGCTGGCTAGCTTGTTGTTTACAAGAACATACACGATTTTAAAGGCTTTAGCAGCATGAGTAACAGAACCTGCAATATTTGACACTGATGTGAAATATGTGAAACATCTGTGCTTAACTGGATAAGCGGGAAGAGAGAATCATTCTCTGGAGTCTTCAAAAAATGCTGGAAAATTAGTGCTGAAGTTCAGAATATCTCACTGGGAAAAATCCCCAGACAGCAAAAACAGCAAAATGTTTCATTGTTCTTAAAAAGACTAGATTCGTAAGAATTAAAATAAGTGTTAAGCATAGCAATGAATTGTGGCTCAATAGTTAATTTGGTCAATCTCCCAGAATGCTATGTGATAAAGATAATTCCTAGCAAAGAACTGAGATATAGTGCCGTCAATGTGAAATTAATGGAGCAATGTGATTTTATTAAAGGACACGGAGGCTCCTATTATGCTTATTCTCTTTCTTTATTCCTCAGCAGCAAAAGAGAGAGATACTGTAAATATTCAACAAAATTTAAATAATAAAATAATTTACCCCAGAGGGTTAACCATATATAGCCTATTAACCAATGAGAGTGTTCCCAGCATAATAGAGTCTTATGTGACCTTAAGCCACTCCTCTTTCTTTTTCTCCTGCTTCCTCAGCTAAGTACAATTTTTCTTTTCCTGTCATAATTTGGGAAATTGTGTGTGTAATTTTCACTGTTTGGGTTAATTGCCCTTTATTACTTTTTAGTTAATCCATTTTTATTCTATGTTATTTTATTATTTCAGTGGTTTTATGTTTCTTCATATGTGTGTTTGGAAAACTGTTCTGCCTTGATATTTCCCTCTCTCCCTTTCCCCCCCTCCCCCGCTCTGTCAGGTCGGTTTGTTTATTTTCCGACCGTTTCTCCTTCCTTGCCTTATTTGATTGCCTCATACCTGAGGCTCCCCTCTCACGCCGCAAAAAGGAACGGTACCCGGCGTATCGCGGCACCAGCCGCAGCTAGTGCCGCTCGCGCATGCGCACATCGAGAGTGCACATCACGGCGGCCATATTGCAATTGGCGATTTTGCCGTGCTTTTCCTAGCGCGGCCAATAACGCTCGCCTGGGGGCGGGAGTAGTTTGTTGTTACTAGGCAAGTCACCGGTGCTCCCCAGGACCTTATTTCTGAGGGAACACTCGGTGAGCTTGCTCTGTTGATTTATTTGTGCCTAGTTTTTATTACATTGGTGCCTGTAAAGCTGTTTCTTGCACTGTCTGTCTATTCAGCCTGTTATACTGTAAAGCTCCCTACTACAGCTAGTAGTGCCCAATTTGAGCCTAAAAACTTTCTGCCTGTCATTTAGCCATATTTTTTCTGACCATGCAATCAAATAAAATGTCTGATATTTCTGGCTCTGCCACCAATGCCACCATAACCCCTGAAACCCTTCCTGAGTCCAAAACTCCCGCAGCCATTGAAGTGTCACAGGAGCAAACTGACTCTGAGGAGTTACATTCCCTCCTGGATGTTGCTATGACGAAGGCCATATTTAACGCTATGGGGGCCATATCAGACAATATCTCACATTCAATTACCATGGCGCTGAAATCCACTCAGCTGCCACCAACTCCCACTACTAACCCCCTTGAGAATAAACTGGTGGCCCCTAGTGGGCGTAAAGCCGCAAAAAAGTCCTGCCACCTGGACGACAATGCCTCCAAAACATTACAGACTGAGAGGGTACGTCCTGTTACAGATCATGTGGTTGCACCACAACTAAGACCCCCCCAAAAATCGGCAAAATCGGTGAGGAACTGGAAAAGGGCTAGAGCCCTCATTGAATCCTCCGAATCAGAGTCGGAGCAAGAGGAGCGAGAGCGAGTCCGATGAGGAGGACTCTGATGATCCCAGCACTTATTTTCCAGAACACAGTTCCTTGACAGGTGCTGGAACAGACCCCAAAGATGGAGTGGGCGAGTCCGCCCTGGTTGACCCGCAGGCCGAACCACTGTTTGACACCGGCACCTTACAACACCCGAGTGGTATCCCCTAGAACACATAGCGAAAAATATTGCTGCTCATATTAGAAAACCACTTGACAAGGTGGTACGAAGCAAACTCCGGGCAGAATGCCCACGCTCCACTCTTCTCGATATGGCATGCGCCACCCCTGACGTAGACCCAAAAATCGCCCAATTCTTGGGGAAGTCTGGTTGGAAAGTCAAAAAAAGGCCTGTGTTTTGCCTGGCGGAATTGCCTGGATAAGGTTCTGGATGTTCTAGGGCCAATTGCAAAAATGTTCGAAATCGCACTGACAGGTGGTACACCGGTGGATTTAGAAGCCCTCAGGGGGTTGATCCAGCGAGTCGTATGTCTGCTGGGCAATGCCAATACGGCGGTAGCCACTGAAAGGCAATCCTGATAAAAATAGAGCCCAAGCTAGTGAACCTAGCTATTTCAGAGCCTGGACCCCAGGCAAAAGCCCTCCTGTTTGGAGATAGTTTTGTTAAGGAGCACATATGTAGGCACCTTTACAGCACTTGATAAAGCTCAAGCCAGCATGAAACGAGTGTTCCACCAGAGAGTTTTTGGCGGGGCCGGCAGATATCGGGGGCCGTCTGCCTGGGCGATCACCCCGGGGTTCCTACCAGGGCTATCAAGGCCCCATACAGTCCAGGCTTACAACACCATTCTTCCCAGTCCGGGGCAGACCATGGCAGTCTCAGAGGTTCTTCCTATGGCCGACAACCTTATGGTAAGTCCAATGCCTTGGCATCTGGTCTCATTAGCTATGGTGGGGGGCAGACTGTATCACTTTATCAGCACATGGCGCATGCTCACTGCAGATGCATGGATTCTTCACACTGTTCAAGGTTACTCTACAGATTTTGTACAATAGCCTGTTCAAATGCAGCCCCCCAACCGCATGGTGTTCCCCGCCCATGACCAATACCGGATATCTCAGGAAGTCCAGGCCTTAGCCTCCAAGGGTGCAATTTCAGAAGTTCACCCTCTCACACCAGGTTTCTTAAGCAACCTCTTCCTGGTCCCCAAAAAAGGCGGAGGCACCCGTCCAGTCATCAACCTATGACCCCTAAACATGTTTGTCACATACCATCACTTCAAGATAGAAAGTATACACTCTCTCAGAGATCTCCTGCTTACAGACACTGGATGATAAAACTCGACTTGTAAGGACGCGTACCTCACGGTCCCGATGGCCGAAGAATGCCAAAACTTCCTACAGTTCCAATGGAAAGAGACCTTACGGCGATTCAAATGCCCACCGTTCGGCCTATCGTCGGCACCATGGTGCTTCACAAAGCTCCTGAAATCAGTGGTCGTCCTCCTACGCAGCAGAGGAGTTCGACTCATAATATACTTGGACGATATTCTCATAATGGCGCAGGACCCTCATCTGCTCCACGAACATTTTTCCTGGCAAGAACTCTACTAGAAAACCTGGGTTTTCTAATCAACTGGGAGAAGTCAAAAGAAATCAAAAGAATTCCTAGGATTCACCATAGATGCTGTGAAAGGAGCACTCCTACTCCCAACAGCCAAAGTCAAATCCATCAAAAAGGAAATCAGGCGGACGTTGGCACGTCCGGTTCTTACCTTGAGACAACTGGCCAGGATTGTCGGCCTCCTCTCAGCGTCAATCCAAGCCATATCCCCGGCCCTCTGCATTACAGAGCACTCCAAGGACTGAAAGCCAAATACCTTCTCTTGGGGCACTCATACTCAGACACTGTTCCTCTCGACTGCACCGCCAAAGAGTAACTCAAGTGGCGGCCACGACACATGGAAGCATGGAACGGCCGAGCGATCTTCAGAACCACTCCAGACATCATAGTAGAATAAAAGCTACCTCCACCGGAGGAAAATGGTCCCTAGAGGAACAGGGACTACACATCAACTGCCTCGAACTGCTAGCAGGATTGTTTTCCCGACGGAGTCTTTTAAGTATATCGACCAATTGCTCCATTCTGTTACGCATGGACAATATATCAGCGGTCCGCTATATCAACCACCTCGGGGGCACGAAGTCAACAATGCTAGCGGAACTAGCGAAAGATTTCTGGCAATTCAGTCTGGACCGCAACATCTCGGTACAAGCAGAGTACATTCCAGGGATGTCCAACGTAGTGGCGGATTGGAATTCCAGACACCTACAAGATGCCAGCAACTGGCGACTGAACCCTGTCATCTTCAGCCATTTACAATCACTTTGGGGCCCCTTGGACATGGATCTGTTCGCATCACGCTTGAACACACATTTGCCGAAGTTTTTCAGCTGGAGACCGGATCCGGAAGCTCTAGCGGCGGACACTTTCCTCCAACCGAGGCCGAATACCCGCCACTATGCCTTTCCTCCTTTCTCCCTCATCGCATGAACAGACGTCACCGAACCTCCTTGATCCTCATAGCACCCTTTTGGACGTCTCAGCCCTGGTTCCCTACGCTCATGGAAATGTCCATAGACCTACCAAGATTACTGCCGTTGACATCCGACCTCGTACTGGATTCCGATGGGAACTTACATCCCCTTCTACTTCAGGGACATCTCAGGCTCTTGGCATGGCTCCTGTCAGGGGACCCTGCTACATCCCAAATGTTCCACAAGCAACTCTGGACCTCCTGGCAGGAGCTTGGGCCCCAGGAACGAGGAGGTCATACCTACATGCCTGGAACACATAGAATAGTTGGTGCATGGAACAACACGTGGATCCCATATCTGCAAATGTGAGTCAGGTTCTAAGCTTCCTTACTTCACTCTTCGACCATGGCCTGGCATATCGTACAATAAACCTATCTAGATCAGCTATTTCGTCAGGCCATCAAGGCTGGAATGGACTCCAGGCAGGAAAGCACCCAGTGGTATGTTGACTTGTACATGGCATCAAGTTTGCATGCCCACCAAGATCTAAATAGGCAGCCTTGTGGGATGTTGGCCTGGTTCTCCAACTTTTTAAAAATTGGCCAAAGAATGAGGACCTTTCGATCAAGCAGCTTACTGCTAAACTGCTTACGCTGTTATCTCTATTCTCCTGTAAACGTGCCTCAGATGTCTGAGCACTGGACCTCACGGCACGCTCATTTACACCAGAAGGCGTCTCCTTAGACATATTGAGACGTACAAAGACATCCATTACATCAGTTTTCTACCCAACTTTTCCACATAACGTTAGTCTATGTCCAGTACTTTGCTCAAGGAATATGAAATAAGGACCGCCTCGATTCGTGATTCCCGGTATCCAGATCTGTTTCTGGCACTCCGACAACCTCACCATCTGGTTTCTACAGTTATCATATCTCACTGGGTTAAATGGATCATGGAGTCGGCTGGCATTGATACCTCAATGTACGGAGCGCACTCAGTGAGGGGTGCTATGGCATCAAAAGCCTTTTCTCTCGGTTGTAGACTGGAAGACCTCCTCTGTGCAGCTGATTGGTCCAGAGAATCTACGTTACGGGAATTTTATTTCAGACCAATTTCTAATTTTTCCACTTCAGTGATCACGCAGCTTTGAACTAGCATAATAGGAGCCTCCATGTCCTTTAATAAAATTACCAGATTTTACTAATTTCATGATGTAAAGTCATGATTTTATAAAGGACACAGAAGCGAGTATTATCCCGGCCAATCCAGGTAAGTGGCGCCCTCCCTGTGAATAGACTGTCATATAATGGGCATGAGTCGTGTAATAATGTGATTTTGTTTTTCACCTGATGACTAGTACTGAACTGACAGATTGGTTTCTGGTAGCTAAGGTCGAAATATAATATGGAAACAATATCCAAGAACGTATTTTACCATTTCATTTCTTGTCTTACAGCCTCCTAATTGGGTTGGCATTCTGGTCCATGCCTGCCCATGAAAGTTTCAAGCAGAAGGCTGCCAATTTTATTTGGAGCTCCGTTGCCAGAATTCCCTGGGACTCACGGTTCTGCAAAGCTATTGGTTACATCGTTTCTATTTGAGGAAGTGTTCATTGACAACATCAAAAGAAAGAGGAGTGGCTTAAGGTCACATGGGACTCTATTATACTGGGAACACTCTCATTGGTTAATAGGTTATCTATGGTTAACCCTTTGGGGTAAATTATGTTATTATTTAAATTTTGTTGAATATTTACAGTATCTCTCTCTTTTGCTGCTGAGGAATAAAGAAAGAGAATAAGCATAATACTCGCCTCTGTGTTCTTTATAAAATCACGACTTTACATCATGAAATTAGTAAAATCTGGTAATTGTCTGGAACATTAAGATATTCATGCATGACATATGCCTGCACAACACCAATGTATCCCTCTAGTATCTTAATGCATGTTTTTATGAGATTAACTTACTTAGGACAAATACTCCTGGTGCAATAAAAAATGGGGTACATTGACATTGTGGTGGGCTTATGCAATGTATGATCATATACTGTAACTAAATCCCCACTTATTTTTTTAGGAATTTAGTGAGTGTACTGGCTTTTGTATACAGTTATGCTCAAAGATTTTTATACCGTTGTACAATTGGCAATATACGCACCATTTTTAAAGAAAACATGAGTGAGCTGGCAAAACACATTTATTTTATCTCTTATTGGATTCATATTCAACTCTAGGCTATAACAGAATGGCACAATCATAAAACAAAACATGGGAACAAAGAAACAAATTAAAGATACCCAGTTCAAAAGTCTGCATACTCTTAGTTATTATTGCCCCCTTTAGCAATATTCTTGCAGGTGGTAAAGCTGCCCATTTGTCTTGGCAAAATGCCTCCAGGTCATACAAAGTCTTCCGTCGTCTTGCATAAACTGCATGTTTGAGATCTCCCTAGAGTGGCTTGATGATATTAAGGTCAGGAGACTGTGATGACCCCTCCAGAACCTTCACCTTTTTCTGTTGTAACCACTGGAGGGTCAATTTTGGCCTTGTGCTTCGGGCCATTGTCATGCTGGAAAGTCCAAGAGTGTCTCATGTGTAGCCTTCGTGCAGTAGAATGCAAATTGTCTGCAAGTATTTTCTGATAACAAGCTGCATTCATCTTGCCTTCAATTTTCACAAGATTCCCATGCCTTTAGATCTCACCCCACCCACCCCCCACCCAAAAAAACATCAGTAAACCACCACCATGCTTCACAGTGGGGATGGTATTCTTTTCACTATAGACCCTCTCCAAACTTAAGGTTGTGACCATAAAGCTATATTTTGGTCTTGTAACTCACAAATTACATTGTGCCAGAAGCTGTGAGGCTTGCCAATGTGTTGTCAGGCATATTGTAACCAGCTTTTTTATGGCATTGGTGCAGTAAAGGCTTCTTTCTGGCAACTTGTCAATGCAGCTCATTTTTGTTGAAGTATCATTGTATTGTGCTCCTTGAAACAACCACACTGTCTTTTTCCAGAGCAGCCTGTATTTTCTCCTGAGGTTACCTGTGGGTTTATCTTTGTATCCCAAACAATTGTTCTGGCAGTTGTGGCTGAAATCTTTCTTGGTCTACCTTCTTTATAAGAGATTGAACAGTACTGACTGGCCTTTTGACAGTTATTTTCAGCTTCCCATGGCTCAGTATCTAGCCTGCTCAGTGCATGCATGTGAGCGCTAACCAACTCATTGACTATTTATACATATACACTAATTGCAATTTAAAAAGCCACAAGTGTAAGAAATTAACGTTTAATTGCCATATTAACCTGTGCGTGTCACCTTGTGTATCTGTAACAAGGCCAAACATTCAAGAGTATGTAAACTTTTGATCAGGGCCATTTGGGTGATTTCTGTATCATTGTAATTTAAAAACTAGCCAAACAATGTGATAATACATGGCTTCATATGATCACTATCTTTAAATAAAATACATTTGCATGATTAGTCATATTTTCAAAACTAATGCCAAAATTTCACAATTTCTGCCAGGGTATGCAAACTTTTGAGCACAACTGTATATGTAGTTGTTTTTTTTTTGTATTTTTTTTTTACTTTTGCACTGCATTGCATTTAAGAATTTTTATAGCAGCAAACAAGTGATGGACCATGTGCTTGGCACTTTGGTTATTAATGAGTGCACAGTACTACCAGGGGTTGTGTATAACTCTATGAAATATTAATATTTTATAGTGCCTGGGTATGTGGACACGTCCAGAGATACCACATAGTCTGTTTGCGTGTCCATTCGTTGTTGCCTAATTTTTAAAAAATCTTTTATTTTATTGGACTGTTTACAACATATAGGTAGATTATAGAAATGTGATAAGTAGTTACAGTCAGTTGCATATTGTCATACATGTATACAGCTGTTACATGAGCTGATAAAAAGCTATTGTTTAAAAGCTAATCAGGTGAGCTTAAATAGTAACCTTTAAATTTTGTTGGAACAAACACATAGCGCAAATTTGTTTTGGTTCAGATGTTGGACAATTGCCTCCGTCATTAATGGTTTAGGTAATTAAGATTTTTACTTTTTGCCAGCATACACACACGCACACACAAACAAACAAACACACACACATTCGCAAACAAGCATACACAAACTCAGCTTTTAATAGGTTAATAACTTACATCGGAGCTGAAACACCAGGTTTAAATGAATATTTCCTTCCAAAAGTTTACAATTTTATACCTAGAGAATAGTCCTCTGCCGCTGTGTGGAGAACACAAGGTGGCAACTTCAGAAAAAAACATTGTATCTACAGTGGGAGCAGAAACTATCAGTACACCAATTTGCATAAATGTAAAATGTTTTATAAGATTTTAAAGAGACTTATTTGTAATTTTGAACCAGCGGCAAGCAAGAAAATGATATAGTGTGTTGAAATGAAAATGTCTGTGCTTTGATACATCCCCTCTAGAAATCATTTCCACTACTAAGAAAATCACTTTACCAGACAAAGCCTAAATGCTCCTTTTCTAAGTGCTTTTCATCATAAGATTACTATAAATGTCCAGTTTTGTTCACTAAATGACTACATTAACCATCATTTCGATGAGAAAA